GGGTAAGTGGATGTCTCTCTGCTGTACAGTAGGTTACAAGTGGGTCAATTTAATGGATGGTGTTAAATTTGTATACTTACATTACTGGTCGTGGACAGAGATACATATTTTATTTTTTTTTTATCTCTTTACTACTATCGTCCGGACAATTTGCATATGTACACAATTTTGTTCATTGAATACTACATTATCTAAGTTATGTAAGTTTGCTAGGCAGAAATTAATATAACAATTAATAATGGCATAAATGCAGTTGAGCTCCCAAGCGATATTTTGGAATTTTTTTTTTTTCAAAATGTGTGTTTATTCATGCCTAATTTGATGGTTTTTTCAAAAAATGCCTGTCGAACTTATTTTGGAAGTTATGGTAAAAAAACTTCAAAATGCTAAATTTTTTCAAAAATCGTGTTTTTAAAATAATTTAAATTATAATTAATTATTTCCAGCAATTCCAAATCCAAACTATCTGCAGATGTTATTTTACAAGTTCGTCTCAATTGATGGATGGGGAGGGGTGGGGTTCAAAGAAATCATTAAATTCTACTTCTAAAAACTGTGCAGCGTCACCGATAATTATTTGTTTCAATTTTTTTTTGTTAATGAGAAATTTTGAAAGGATTGAACTGCATTGCCAGTGCATATTTTTATTGTTTTTTTAATTTTTTCTGAAATTTTTTTTTTGCCTAATTTTGAACTGCAATTTTTTGATATGAATTGTTTAACTAAATTTTGAATGGCCTTAGGTTCCCCTCTGATTATTGTGTCCTCCTCTCCCTCTACCTCTATGAATTGGATTAAATTATGTATAGGTATCTGTGAATCTTGTAAGAATCTGTAAATATTATTATTATTGTATTATTATTATTTTTTGTTATGATTGTTATGTACTTGTGTGTAATTATTAATATGATATTGTATTCTGTCAATGTTGGTCGATATTATATTGTTCATCACCATGGAACTACGTTGTCAGGAGGAGGTGTGAACCCTACTGGCCATTCCACTTCTAATGTAATATCAGGACGTCCTCGCACTAAAATATATATATATATAATAAAAATAGCATATGATAACAAAAAAATAATGTATGCATTATAGTTATTCATAAAATACACACAATTACGAAGAACATTATTCCGGCAGTTTTCTTCTTTTGTTTTATAATCTGAATTTTTTGTTGGGTCCATTTTATAACAAACCTATTTAAAAAAAAAACGTATGATAATATATAATGGTTTTAATTATATAAGAATATAATAAGATAGTTTAGTTTAATATGAATATAATTTATACTTTTAGATTGGTGATGGTGACGTGTTTTCTAGTCAATACTGTCGAATCTGATGAAATAAATATATCCGAGTACTTTTAATATAAGCCTTATGGAAGTGGCAGGGGAATACAATATGCAAATTTGGGACCAGTTAGATTAATAGGGGCTCAATACAGTCTTGTAACGTTTTTCTCATTAAAAGAATATAACATGAAATATGAAGTATTGGGGGAAAAAATAAAGAATATAACAAATATATGTACTCACCAGAAACACCAAGATCTATGTGGAAAATATCAAATAGTAATTACAGATTTATATAATGAAATAACTAAACAGAAAGAACGTATGTATATGTCACTAGGAAGTACTATACAGGAAGATAAACGAAGAAAGAAAAGAGGATTAATAAACATAATAGGTAACACCATGCATACATTATTTGGCGTATGTGATGATAAATGCACTAAGAAAACACAAGAAGCTATAAAAAAAAAACAGAAGACTCAGGAAGTAACATATTGCATATAATGGAAACTAAACGACTGTAGTAAAATCAACAATAAGAAATATTGGTAATACATTAAATCAAACCGAACAACTATACAATAATATTACGGAAAGGGAGCAAAAATTATATGAAAAAACAAACGATATATTAGATTTGTTAATGAAAAATGAAACACATAATTTATATGCAATAATTACAAGTCAATATTCTTACGAAACAGAAACATTATGGCAAATAGTAACTGCCGCTAGAGAAGGAATGATACATCCAAGTCTTATGACACCGCAAGAACTAGCATCAAACATTAAAAACAGTAGAACAAACTATAAAGAAAATATATAGTATTCCGATGGGATCAAGGAGATGGGAACTAAATGAATTTAAAAAAAATACAAAAATAAGAATCTACTATACAGACAACAAATTAGTATTTGATATAGTAATACCATTAATTGTTGACCCTAAACTTACATTATATAGGTTAACATCAGTACCAATGCGTCATAAGCAAGATAATTCTAGTGGATGGTACATGATGGACATTACTTACAATGATATTGCTGTAACCAGAGGATATAAAAGGTTTACTACATACACAGATCAACGATTAAACGAATGTAAGGAAACTTCAATATACAGAATATGTAAAACACCACAACCTATACAGGAAAACAACGAACGACAACCATGCGAAGTGCAAAACTTCATAAAATCTGACACATATTCTAATCCTGAGATAAAGAAAATTAATTTAAAGAGAAGCATATACCAAAAATTGCAAAATAAGAATACATGGTTCATGCAGGAAAAGAGACACTAACAATAAGTTGCACCAACCTAATAGATCCATTCATAACAGAAACAAATGAAGCAGGAGAAATAACTATAAAAGACATCAGTTGCCAAATATTTGCACGGGACGCAGTATTAACTGTCACGGAAGAAATTCAAAATAATAAATTTAAAGACTTCACACCTGTAACTAACATGAATAATATTTTGGAGAAAATACCCGAACATATACACAAATTTGAATCAGATGAAAAATGGGAAAAAGGACCAGCTATGCAATTCACAGATTTACACGACGCATCCAAATCTTTAGACGAGGTACAACAAATGATTAACCAAGAACTTTCAAGAGAACAAAATCAAAAACATCAATTTGTACACAGTAATTTATTATATGTAACAATATTACAAGCATCGTTGTCTCTCGTACTTATAATAGCAATATATATATTAATTAAATGCAAATATATTAGTAATGGACAGATAAAAGATATGCCAGGAAGAATAGTTAGATATAGACAAACGATTACATAAGAGAGACATTATTCACCGCACCGCCATCGCCAAGATAGATAGAATGAAAATATATTAAAAGTAGTCGCTAGTCATAACGAATTATTTACTTAAAATTTAATTAATAATAAAATAAATATATAGAATAAAAATAATATAGAACATACAAAACGAAAATAAATACGTAACATATTAATAAAAATAATAAACACTAAGTAACAAAATAAATATTATTCATGCATCATAAAATAATTCGTAGAATAATACTTACAAATAATCACGATGTAACAATTATATAACAGGTCACTTTAATTATTTCAGGAACTAAAAAGAAGAACAAATATTTAAAACATACCCATATAAATAAGAAATATAAAATGAATAGGAACTCACCACCTACTTCTCGTACAGTTTAAAAGACACTACAAACAAGAGAATTCTTTCAGAAACTTATAGTTGAGTTAATAACAGCACGCCACACACAAATAAATCATGGGGGAACAGTGACCTTACACTGTTTCAGAAGACACCTAAGGAGGGCGAATGAAGACATGACACACCCCTTTCCAAGACTAGTTTTATAAAGAGTTATGGTTCATGTAAGCAACTCACGCGGTTGTACACGCGGTGGTTGAACGACCGGACCACAACAGACCCATTTGTGTAGAATTAGGTTTGTTGTTAGAACAACTAATAATAAGAGGCGTGGCGTGGCGAACAAAACATTAAATAACCGCTATGATCATAAAACTCTAAATAAAATAACAAGAAATCTTGAAATTTTTATAAATGATCACTGTAAAGGAGAATGTAAACATTTAGCAGAAATAATAGAAAGAACTAGAGACCCGAGTTATATAATATACCTACTATCCTAAGTAACAACAATTTATGGTTGCATATGTGTATGACAATTTTAATAATTATTCATATAGATTTAGTATAATAATTAATAGGTGGAAGATAATAATTATTATTGTGATCAAGGGGAAATACTTACATCATATACTTACATTATATTATATACTTACACTTTTAATGTTGTAATTTCAGGTACAATATTATTTTATTGTTTTGGAAGGACTATTGGTCCTTCTTACTAACACTAGTTATTTAACAATTTATGTATTAATTTTATTCTTACTAATCACTATATATAACTTTTAATATATATAATAAATAATATGGTAACAGTAATTATGTATGACACTAAAAATTGTAAATGTCTACACTGTAATATCAAAATTGTAAACTATTATAACAAATTGTAATCGAATGTATGTCAAATTGTAAATCAACTATTGTGATTAATTAACTTAACTATGATTGTTAAAGATTCTTAACCCTTAAAGGTTAACAATCTTTTTTTTGGTTGGGAGGTGTAATGGGATTACGCAATTCATGTAAACGCTCATAATAACAAGAACCACTTATATGAAAGGCGGCCTCGTCGACCTCACCCAAAAGTGGTCATCGCTAGAATAGACGCTCCAAACCACTACAACTTTCCAAGGGCGCCCACATGCCACGCGCCGCTCAATTCAAAGGACGTCGCCTTCGTATATATAGAGGCCAGGGCCCCAATACACATTAGATGTACCAGAGCCGCCAAGACCGAGCGAGCCGCTTATGCACCAGCCATTGCACACAATTTACAAGGAGATTATCAACTACTACAGCGAGTCAGCTCACGGCATTACAATTCACCACGACTATATTAATTATTATTGGTCTTAATAAACTACAATTGATTTATATTTTATTGTAAAAGTGCAACAGCTTTTGGATCCCTGAAGGGCCGTACGTAACAGTATGTCATCTTCTTCGTCAACAGTATGGTCTTCCCGCCCACCTCGATGTTTGGTGTCCCGTGTTTGTACTTCCGGGTGAAGAGTGCAGCTGAGGTTTGAGATGCGATCCTCTACAAGCCGTAGCGCATTGGTCGCGAGTACTTCCAACTCTTCAACAGTCTTGGATGAGACCACCAACAAGGTGTCATCTGCGAAGCCGAGTCACTTCGCTCCCTGGGGTAGTGGCACTCTCAGGACAGAGTCGAACGTTGCGTTCCAGAGAAGGGGACCAACAACGGATCCCTGTGGCACTCCCCCAGAGATCTCGACCTCCATTCTTCCACTGCCGGTGGAAACCGTTCCAGACCTGCCCCAGAAGTATGACTGGAACATGCGGTACAGGTAGGAAGGGACGTCCCAGCTCTCCAATGCTGCCATTATATCAGGCCATTTGATGGTGTTAAACGCGTTTTTGATGTACAGGGCCGGATTCGACTGATAGTTTCAAGTCGGCACTTTCCCCGGACCCAAATAAAATATGTAACTTAATATTGTTTAGCAAACGAAAAAATTGTCAGTTTCGATTTTTTTTTTAAATCTATGGTATATTGATACTGGATTAAAGTTTTCACGAAAGTATAAAAAGCGAGGCGGGCAACAAAGGCGGCAGGAAACGAAGATGTAGGACAACGATATTATTCCGCCTGAATTGTTTTCAAAATATTTGTTTGTATTTTTAAGATGCATGAAAATAAAGTTAATACACTTAATATAACACATATTTAAAGTCGTATTCACTTTCAGTAATATTTTCGATGGAAACTGTGCTTCGAATATTATAGGTACCTAAATGGTGTGACTATATTGCTATAATCATACATACTTTAATGTAGAGATTATGTCAGTTGAGGCTTCTAATTTCTAATTTATGATTTTGTACAGACATATTTTCTCTCATGTCATTACTACGGTCGTTGATCATCGACGAGCAGGACGACCAGAATATTATTCATAAAACAGAATAAATAAATATACATATATGTATGGGCAAGTTTGAACTATAGTCCTATTCCTATTTTCCTATATTCATCACCATTTGGTTTTCCAATGGCTGGTTCTTTGCAATTAATACGATGGTATTATTGTGTTTCAACAAATGGTATTTTCACGTCCACGATAAATAATTATATATTATCCTATTTATTTATTATTTATGATATTACTAGCCCTCCGGTCTAGCCGGGGGAGACCCCCGGACCCCCCAGTGTTTGTTTGTAAGTGAGTACCGATTTCGTAGACAATGTCGTTGGAATTATAAAAATTACAAGGGTTGTAAGTCAAAAGTTTAGGATTAGTGATATGGATTGGAGATAAGGCTTGGAGCATTGGCTGGAATATTTAAAAGTTTGATCGTCTAGCAATCCGTCACAAACATTGTAAATAGATACGATCTCCAGGATCTCTAGTCAGCGGCTTTGGGTTGTTGAAATTATTAAAAATTGTAGTATCGATATGTGTATTTGATTGTCTAGCTATCAGTCATCAAATCACATAGGTAGGCAATCCGACTGAGTCGGATCGCGGACAATATGTGAAGCGTATATTACCAGGTATGCAATCCACCTTCGGTTGGTGTAATACCGTGCCCCGTTGTATGTCCTGTTCTGTTTTGATGACTTTATAAGAAATTAGGAATTGCGAATAATTGTAATGGAATGTCTAGCTATCAATCGTCGCTGTATGGAAATCTATGAGTTATAGGGCATTTGTGTATGGCGGATTGGATACATAACCCGGGAACAATTGCAGTTTAGCTCCCCCGCGCTATTTTGAATTTTTTTTATCGAAACTTATGTAACTTATCGAGTTAAGATGGTGCAATCAGAATTTGTCGCTCTCACTTTGTTTCGAAGTTTTGGCCTTCCAAAGTTTTTAATTTTCGTTTATATGCATGCGCGCAACACTACCTACTATATTACCGCGCGGAGGACCTCAACAGTGATTACACAGTTTGCGGCACTCGTCGCTGCGCTACTCGGCGCCGTCGCTGCGCTCCGCAAATCGAAAATATCCCCCGACTTGCTATGCAACACCACCTTAAGTAGGTTACAGGGTAAGTTATGTCGTAATACAGTGTTACACAGTTTAAGTATAAAAACAACTAAAAAAGTCCTCCGGTCGCCAAACTCGAGGTCCTCGTGCGGCATTAGTAGTGTAGCGCGCATGCGTCTAAACGTAAAATCGTTAGCTTTGGGAGGCTATAACTTCGAAATTAAGTGAGAGCGACAAATTTTGATTGCATCATCGTTCTTAACTCGATGAGTTACATAAGTTTCGATAAAAAAATTCAAAATGGCGAGGGGGAGCTAAATTGCAATTATGCCAATATAAAGTGTGAATTGCAGTAAATAAACTGTAATGATGTATAAGTACACGGGGTGAACAATTAAGCTTTCAATAAGGAAGTGAGTACTCGTTACTTTATTATATTTTTCACTTTTTTTTTTTGTTTTTTTTGACGACTTTACTAATGTTAATTTTTCGTTTTAGAATGTTTCAGTTTACAAATTGTACGGTGACGGTGCAGGCTGCAAGCCCCGTCACCAATCAACCACCATCTTCTGCAATTGTAGCACCTAAAAGTATGTATAAATATTGTCAATTGTCATGACGTAAATACGGTAAACGGGAAAAAAGTCCCCGGTAAGAAAGTCCCACGGAAACAAAGTCTCTCATTGTAGAATAAATAAAACGATATTTCCTCTATACTGTTATATACTGGTATATCTATGTTTCTAAATAAATTGGGTTGACAAATCTTATATATTATTATATGTTTAAGATATTATATTATTTTCAATAAATTTAAAATGTATTTAATTATGTATATAAATACTTATCTACAATAATTTTTAATCCTAGAAAGGTATCTATTTTATTTAGTTTTAATTTAGACCTATAAACTAATGGATTGCGCCTCCCTCACCACCCAACCATCACCGAGTAACGCCAATATAGAGTGAGTAAGAAGGAACATAGTGGGGGAATCTTGATGGAATCATATAAGAGAAAGAGAGAAAAAACATAATGTGGGAAATCATAGACTTACGAAACTAATACTGTATATTGGACCTCTTACCTCTCTCTCTAAGCGTTGTCCATTAGTTTATAGGTCTATGGATAAACATGGTAATGTTGTTCGCTTTTCTTTTTCAGAATGCTACAATTGCAGAAAACCTGGCCACCTGGCCCGCCATTGTAAGTGTATTTTGTGTATATTATATATGTGATCGTAGGCAATGCATCTAAAATATTATTTATTATGCAGGCAGGAGACCAAAAGTGCAGAGGGACCGCCCCCCCCCCCGTCGGCGAGACCGGTCCCCCCCCTCGGCGGCGAGACCGGTCCTCTCCCCAGCGGCGAGATCTGTCTCCTTCCAGACGGCGATACGGGGCCTCACAGCGGCTGCGGGACTCGGCCCCCCCGTCGTTGGGGAATGGTGCCGGGCAGGCTTCGCACCAGCACTCAGGCCATGACCGTGGCTCGAGTGCTCTTTCATCTATGGGCCACGATATGGCCTCCATGAATGTAGGAGTGAGTATAATATTGTAATATATTTGTAATATACATGTTAGTTATAAATGTTTTTAAATACATTGTTTATAGGATGACGGCAAGCTAGTGGTAAGCTATAAAAAGTTCCTGTGTACTAATTTTTGTGTTCTTTTTATTGTCTAATTCTAATTTGTGTTTGTATATATTTTTTAAACGTTAATTAGTATTTATAATTAATATTTAATTACAAATACGTATATTATATTGTTAAAAAAATTATATATTATAAATAATATTTTGTTTTAAATTACGATAATATATTATGTGTAATTCAAATTAAATAACTAACTTAACAACGTTACAAATAGGTGTAGTATATAAAAATATTTTGAATGATCGATACGTCAAATAATACAGTTAAACACATAGTATGCAAAAATATTATACAAAATATAGGTAATAAAATAATATAAATAAATAACTATAAATAATTTTTGAAAAATTAACAACAACATTTTATATTACTATACTATATTAATACACATTTTATGTTGGTATAATTCTGTAAAAATTAAATCCCTGAAATAAAATATTACGTTTTCAAAACTTCAAATAATACTTATGATTGTTGTGTGAGGTGTAGTGTACACAAATATATAAAGTATAAAAATATTTCGAGTGATCGATACGTCAAAGAATACAGTTAAAAACATAGTAGGTATATAGAAATATTATAAAAAATTTAAAATATAGATGGTAAATGGTAATATCAATAATAATAATAATAACTATAATCATAATAAAATAATTATCAAACAATAATTAATTATTGATTTCAATTTTGAAATTAATTGGATTCAATTTTTACAGAATTATACCAACATAAAATATATAGGTACCTATATTTTGTATAATATTTTTGTATGTATATTATATGTATACTATGTTTTTAACTGTATTATTAATTGACGTATCGATCATTCTAAATATTTTTATAATTTTTTTAACAATATAATAGAATATAATATACGTATTTGTCATTAAATATTAATTATAGTTACTAATTAACGTTCAAAATATATTTGATCAACCATTTGCATGTGATTGTGAGTAATATTGTAGCTGGTGATTTTTTTTCCTAGGGTCGGGGATTTTTTTTCCGATTACGGAGTCATACAGACGCTACGGTAAAAATACGTGAATTTAGACTTTTGAACGATAGAGTGTAATAGAGTATATTATATACTACCATAAACAGCGTATAAAGACATGGTGGAGTTTAAGTAATCGGTAAACATTACATAATGTAATCGAACCAACAACTAATGCCTAACCAAATAGTTTGTTTACACACGTCGGGTACTTGTGAAATATACGTATAAAAACTTGGACTCACCGGTCTCCGAAGTGTCCTGGAAAAATATATCTGAAAATAAACTGGATAGAGATGAAAATGAAATAAGAAGTGAAGTAAATAAAAGAGCAAATTGTTAAATGACTGGGAAATGTGCAAAAAGATGAAAAAAAAAGTAGCGATCAACTGTCTTGCACGGATGTTGAAACGCTACGTGCCGTGGATGTCGGTCAACGGCTCGGTCGTCGCCTCGTACACCCTCCCCCCCACAACTATTACACCGCGCGCCCACCAAAGATTATTATCGCATATACCGCGAACATGTTAACCGACACAGAAACGCGGTGTCAGTTATGACCAGCTTCCTATACTCGCCATCTACGGAATACGAATATCGTTATGGGAAAGCTCAAAGTCGACAGTTGGACTGTTCCAGAGTTTCGGTTGTCCCAACTCCCAAGTCTACACGTGAGTTCACAATGTTTAATTATATTTA